TCCAGCCCTACAGCCGGACGGGTCCTAAGGGAAGGTTATATAATTGAAGGGAAGAAATTAAGAAACAGACAAAAGTTTCGGGGTGCTCACCTCTGCGATGGCATCAGGTCGGGGCAGAGAAAGAACGAATGTATTTTACATCAACTTACATAGTCTCAGGCATGCAAGCCCCCTTAATTACAAGTAACTACATAGGTAATGATGTGGGCAGTACCTTACCCTTAGAGGTCCCTGAGTTCATCAGGGGAATAGCCTAACACCAGTGCTGGGGGCAGGGAAGGGAGTGACTGTCCCCTGAGCAGGGAGAGCAATAGCAACATGTCCTATATTAGATTAAGCTGTGGGCCAGATAGCAATCAGCCACATGCTTGTGAGAGGTCACTTTAAGGCAGCACTATTCTGGGAGCCTCCCAGGCTTCTTAAATATGAGCATAACGAATTCATCCGCATGCACTCTCTTCCCAGTCCTCAGTTTCCCACAGAGATATTTTTGGTTGTCACAATTGAAAGGGACACTACTGGCATTCATTACGAAAGCGCCAGGGACACTGCTAACTAGCCCATAATGCCTAGGACATCCCCCACCACAAGCAACTCTTTGGTCCAAACTGTGAGTAGTGCCAAGGCTGAGACATCCTAGAATAGAGAATGAGTTCATGTTCTTCAGGCTAGTATGGTCGTGGAGGACCATGTTGAGGACCTGACACTTGAGCAGAGGTCAGAAAGTGAAAATGGAAAGCTCCAAGGAAGAGCATCGTACCAGGGCCCAGCACGTACCGAGGCCCAGCAAGAATCAAGGGCCCAGCAAGTACCGAGGGCCCAACAAGTACCGAGGGCCCAGCAAGTACCGAGGCCCAGCAAGTACAAGTACCGAGGCCCAGCAAGTACCGAGGGCCCAGCAAGTACCGAGGGCCCTGCAAGTACCGAGGGCCCAGAACGTACCGAGGCCCAGCAAGTACCAAGGGCCCAGCAAGAATCGAGGCCCAGCACGTATCGAGGCCCAGCAAGTACCGAGGGCCCAGCAAGTACAAGTACCGAGGCCCAGCAAGTACCGAGGGCCCAGCACGTACCGAAGCTCAGCAAGTACCGAGGGCCCAGCATGTATCGAGGCCCAGCACGTATCGAGGCCCAGCAAGTACTGAGGCCCCGCATCAAGAATGCTTTCACCAAGAACAGCGTGTGTGCAGTTGAGCTGATTCTTCCCCACCCTGTTTCAGATGAAAAGACGTTAGCTTTCCTGTGTTCTAGAGACCGTGGCAGAGTCCCGTCTGACACCATTTTGGTCTTTGTGCTTAATATCCTTGATGTCGTGCCACCCGTCTCGTCTGTGGTCATGGGTGTTCAGTGCAGCAACCCTCTTCTTGAGATAGTCTCTAAATTCAGGTGGGATGTACTCAAGGAAATATTTTGGCTGGCCTGGACTTGTTTTGGGTTTCTTCTGTTTCATCGTGAACTTGAGCAATGGATGGTCAGTTTCTGTAGTTAATTCCTAGCCTTGTTCTAGCTGCTCATATTGAGCGTCTTCATTACCTCTTTCCAACGATGTAGTTGACTGAGTACTGTGTCTTCCATTTGGTGAGATCTAGGCCCCGAGTCATTTGTGTTGTTTAAAAAAAAGTATTTGTTAAATGTTTTGAAAACGATGATGGCAAAATATGTACAAATGTGCATGATACAATTGATGTATGGATTGTGATAAGAGCTGTAAGAGCCCCCAATAGGATGATTTA